TTACTTAGTCTATAAAAAGATTGTCTGTGGCAGCAAGAAAGACTGCAGGGCTAGAAGTTTAAGATCATTACTTTTATTTCAAGTATGATTAATTAAATGCAGCTTTCAGCAAAAGCTTTACATTTTCTGAATTCAGCCAAAATGCCACCTAAATGCTTATGAATGCATAAGTAACCACAACTACTTTTTGAGAAATCAAGAAACATATCCCTAATATTATGTCCCCAAGCGTTTATGTAAAGTTTGTGACTACAGTTAGTTTCAAGGTGTAATGTCCTAGGGCAGGGTACCCAATATATCATGTATATTAATCTAGAAATCTTAGTTTAAAAAACCACACATCCTCCCTAGTACTGTACCTTAGCTCTTATTAAAGAAGGAACCAACCTCTTCTAGAGTGACAAAAGGTGAGAGCTTAGTCCATCCCAGGAGAACCTAAAAGAAGCACCAATCTCTTCTACTTTTTCTACCATGACACTAGTGACATTTTTGAATGCCTGGGTGGGAAAACAGCTGCTAGATTCCTTTGGCAGCATTGGTGCTTTCCCCACTCCATAGACTAACCATCAACTTATCCATGGGTCAAATCAAAATTCGTAACGCTGGCCTCAAAAGCTGCCCTTGACTTCTATATAGATGGCACTCGTTTATAACAGGTACACTGTTGACCGGAAGACCTAGATTCAGGATCCAATCCATTCAGATTTTGATAGCTTAGTGGGAGAGACCTATTTTGGGTCTATATTTTCAGCCCACCAGGACCCTAAGATCTTCTGGAGAGTCCCTGCTCTCTATCCCTCCAGCTTCAGAAGTGCGGCTGGCGGGAACGAGAGACAGGGCCTTCTCTGTGGTGGCCCCTCGGCTTTGGAACACCCTCCCTATAGAGGTACGATCAGCCTCTTCGCTGATGGTGTTTAGGAAGAGATTGAAAACATGGTTGTTTAAACAAGCATTCGGCTAATCTGTGGCAATCGAATTTTGGTGACTAAGGACAGGAAAATATGGACAACGAATTCTGGATTATGATTTTAATTCGAGATACATGGGATTATTATTGGTGGCCCAATAATCTGTACTGTATGTGTATATGTTTTTAAATTGGAGACTGTTTTTTAATTGCTGTAAACCGCAATGAGTCGCCGATCCAGGCTGAGATATTAGCGGTATACAAGTGTATTAAATAAATAAATAAATAAATAAATAAATATCAGTCTGTCACAGTGTTTCTCAAGCTCCCAGCTTCTGCCAACCTAACAGTTCAAAAACATGCAAATGTGAGTAGATCAATAGGTACCACTTCTGTGGGAAGGTAACAATGCTCCATGCAGTCATGCTGGCTACATGACCTTGGAGGTGTCTATGGACAACGCCGACTCTTTGGCTTAGAAATGGAGATGAGCACCAACCCCCAGAGTCTAAAGGTCGCAGGTTCGAAAATGGGGAGTGGTGTGAGTTCCTGCTGTTAGGCCCAACTTCTGCCAACCTAGTAGTTGGAAAACATGCAAATGTGATTAGATCAATAGGTACTGCTCCAGCAGGAAGGTAACAGCGCTCCATGCAGTCATGCTGGCCACATGACCTTGGAGGTGTCTATGGACAACGCCGGCTCTTTGGCTTAGAAATGGAGATGAGCACCAACCCCCAGAGTCAGACACGACTGGACTTAATGTCAGAGGAAAACCTTTACCTTTACCTAAAGAAAGAGCACCAATATGAAAGTTAATAAACTCCACCTGTCTAACTCATATCATACCAGGTGTCCTCTAACAAAGCCACACTTGGGAGCTCTTGCCTGTCTTAATGTCCCCTGAAACAATTGCAATCTGATGTGATAGAGGCTTTCCATGAAAGCATTTTTCACTTGCAGACAAGAAGTTCTACTCTTTGAGGAGTTTGTAGTCACGGGAAGAGAGCGGCAATCTCTCAAAAGCCTGTCATTTCTAAATCTACTCCATTCCTCACCATCCATCCCTTTCATTTCCTTCCCATCAGTAGAATTTTGTAACTCTGAAAAGGACTTCTCTTGAAACAATCCACCTATTTTTCATATATTATCCCAGCAACGAGCGCCGGTATGGGAACGTTAATGAGGACCTGTGCATGAATAAATTACTCAAGTCCCGTGCGGAGGAGACTTTTTAAAAAACATAGAGAACTTGCTTCAAAAAACACTACTTCTCAAACCTGTAGCTTCTCAAAGCTTTTGTTTCCACTTTCCCTTCTTTAGTTCCTTTTTGTCAGCTCTGGAAGCTATTGAGGGCACTTGCTCAGGAAATATATTTTAAGAACATTTGCTTGCTAAATTCATCTTCAAATTGCAGAAATTCATAGTGAGAAGAAAATCCCTTGTTCAGCCGTGGAAATCCCCTGGGTGACTTTGGACAAGTCACACTCTCTCAGCCTCAGAGGAACACAAGGACAAACTTCTTCTAATTAATCTTGCCAATACATTGGTTTGCCTTAGGGATGCCATAGGTCGGAAATGCCGGAAAAAGCACACAACAATGACAAAAAACTGGGCAATTATGAATTATTCCATTTGCTGTGCCCACAATTGTAACTGACCATTCTTCCTGTTGCCCTGAAAGTTAGGCTGATTCTACACTGCCATGCAAAATCCAGATTATCTGTTTTGAACTGGATTATATGATAGTGTAGACTCATATCTGATTTGATAATCTGGATTATATGGCAGTGTAGATCCAGGCTTAGTTACAGTAGACTCTAAGGGCCCTTCCACACAGCCCTTTTTTTCAGAATATTAAGACAGAGAATGCCACCTTATTTGAGTGTGGACTCAGGTAACCCAGTTCAAAGCAGATATTGTGGGATTTTCTGCCTTGATATTCTGGGATATAGGGCTGTGTGGAAGGTCCATCAAGCTCCTTCTACACTGCCATATAATCCAGATGATCAAAGCAGATGATCCACATCATCCGCTTTGAATTGGATTATCTGAGGCGCCTTAAACACTGCCATATAAAATCCACACTATTTGCTTTGAACTGGATTATATGCCAGTGTAGACTCATATAGTCTAGTTCGGATAATGTGGATTATCTGCTTTGATAATCTGGATTATATGGCAGTGTAGAAAGGGGCCTGATTCTACACTGCCATATAATCCAGATTATCAAAGCAGATAATGTGGATTTTAGATGGCAGTGTAGGAGTTAATTTAAGCATCTGTACAAAAAAATAAGTATAATCACATACTGCATTCACAAAGTTGTTTTTATAAAATAGCAAAACTGTGTTACGTTGAGTTTTTCTTTCAATTACAATATTTCAATATCAACACCAAGTTAATCCAGAGTTTATGGTATGGTATAGCATGAGACATAGTACAGTATTAGTTAGGTCAATTTTTAATAGTAACTCTCAAGCAAGCAGAAATTACAACTATCTGGCATTTATCAGTCAACTGAGGCCTCATCTACAGTGCCATATAAAATCCAGAGGCCCTTCCAGTCAGGTCCTATATCCCAGGATCTGATCCCAGGTTTTCTGCTTTAAACTGGATTATATGAGTTCCCATTGCCAGGTAATCTGGGATAAACAGAAAATTTAGGATCAGATCCTGGGATAAAGAGCCTGTCTAGAAGGGCCCTAAAATATCTGCTTTGAACTGGATTATATGGCAGTGCAGACTGATTTAACCTGTCTATTCAGGGGTGCATCTACACTGAAGAATTAATGCGGTTTGACACCACTTGAACCGCTATGTCTCAATGCTATGGGATCACAAGAGTTGTAGTTCGACACTCAGATCCTGGGATAAAGGGCCTGTGTGGAAGGGCCCTAGATTTTCTGCTTTGTACTGGATTATACGGCAATGTAGACTGATTTAATCTGTCTATTCAAACTGGGGCGCATCTGTACTGTAGAATTAATGCAGTTTGACACCACTTGAACTACTATGCCTCAATGCTACGGGATCACGAGAGCTGTAGTTCGACAAGGATGTTTTAACACTCCAGCTGCCCTGATTCTATGGCACTGGAGAGTTAAAGTGGTGTCAAACTACATTAATTCTACAGTATAGATGCAGGCTGGGACTAACACTACTTACTTACTTAGGCGATCCCTCATTGTCCGAGTAGGATAGTCTTCCAAGATCAGTGTACTGGTGGGTCCGTAGGTGACTGTGGAGCTATTCTTGGCCTGTATGTTCTCCCGCAGTGAGGGCATTGGTTTCCAGGTGGAAAGGCAGTCGGGGTTGGCTTGACCTTCCTCTTGGCACGTTTCTCTCTTTCGCCCTCCATTCGTGCCTCTTCAAATTCTACAGCACTGCTGGTCACAGCTGATCTCCAGCTGGAGCGCTCAAGGGCCAGGGTTTCCCAGTTCTCAGTGGGACTAACAAAGAGGATCTGGATAAGAATGTTTCTATTACCGAAAGTTTACTTTCCAATCTGGGCAAACATTCCTTAGAGCTGTTGTAGGTTTTTTCGGGCTATATGGCCATGTTCTAGAGGCATTCTCTCCTGACGTTTCGCCTGCATCTATGACAAGCATCCTCAGAGGTAATGAGGTACCTCTGAGGATGCTTGCCATAGATGCAGGCGAAACGTCAGGAGAGAATGCCTCTAGAACATGGCCATATAGCCCGAAAAAACCTACAACAACCCAGTGATTCCGTCCATGAAAGCCTTCAACAATACATTCCTTGGAGCCCTTCCACACAACCATATAACCTTGAATAGCAAGGCAGAAAATCCCACAATATCTGCTTTGAACTGGGTTATCTGAGTCCACACTGCCAGATATTCTAGTTCCAAGCAGAGAATGTAGGATTGTATTCAGCCCTGTGGAAGGGACTTTAGAGGGAAAACTTTGTGTGCTGTCAAGGGGCCAAGAGAAAGGCCCATGATGAAACCCTATTCCCAACTGTGGCATTTCCTTGGCCCCATCTAAGTATCTGAGATCTGATCAGCCTTCCCTCCCTCTTCCCGGCCCCGCCCAACCGTTGCGTTACTATGGCAACGGGACGCGGCCTTGCCCACTGGAGGAAGCCTAAGGAGCCTTTGCGCATGGAGGCAGGCCTGCATCAGTGAAGGGACGAGGGCTGAGAAAAGAGGGAGAAGGATGGCGGAGAAGGAAGGCAACCCGGGTGAGAACATCTGGGGTAAAAGGGGGGAGGCAGAGAAGGCGAAAGGGCTGCTTATTCTTAGGTCTCACTGTCGAAATATGGTCTCAGAACAGTTTGCCTCAATTAGCCAATTAAGTTTAACAGTAAAGGACAATACAGCATCCTCAGCATCATAATAGCGATTCAATACAAAAGCCAGCATAGTGATCTTGTGTGCTATGTACTAATCTTGTTGTGTCTATAACAACAGCAACAACAGACTGACAGAGTTTTGGAGGACAATACTCCTGACCTCACCATTGTGGAAAAACAAAATCAAAGTATGGATCCTCAAAGATCTTGGAGTCCTTGTGGACAACAAGTTAAACATGAGCCAGCAATGTGATACTGCGGCAAAAAAAGCCAATGGGATTTTGGCCTGCATAAACTGAAGGATAGTGTCTAGATCCAGGGAAGTCATGCTCCCCATGCTCTATTCTGCCTTGGTTAAACCACACCTGGAATATTGTGTCCAGTTCTGGGCACCACAATTGAAGAGAGATATTGACAAGCTGGAATGTGTCCAGAGGAGAGAGACTAAAATGATCAAGGGTCTGGAGAACAAGCCCTATGAGGAGCTGCTTAAAGAGCTGGGCATATTTAGCCTGAAGAAGAGAAGGCTGAGAGGAGACATGATGAGGGCCATGTATAAATATGTGAGGGAAGTCATAGAGAGGAGGGAGCAGGCTTGTTTTCTGCTGCCCTGGAGACTAGGACACAGAACAATGACTTCAAACTACAGGAAAGTAGATTTTACCTGAACATTAGGAAGAACTTCCTAACTGTGAGAGCTGTTCAGCAGTGGAACTCTCTGCCATATAGTGTAATGGATCTCAGTACTGGATTGTTTAACATAGAATCATAGAATCAAAGAGTTGGAAGAGACCTCATGGGCCATCCAGTCCAACCCCCTGCCAAGAAGCAGGGATATTGCATTCAAATCACCCCTGACAGATGGCCATCCAGCCCCTGTTTAAAAGCTTCCAAAGAAGGAGCCTCCACCACACTCCGGGGCAGAGAGTTCCACTGCTGAACGGCTCACACAGTCAGGAAGTTCTTCCTAATGTTCAGATGGAATCTCCTTTCTTGTAGTTTGAAGCCATTGTTCCGCGTCCTAGTCTCCAAGGAAGCAGAAAACAAGCTTGCTCCCTCCTCCCTGTGGCTTCCTCTCACATATTTATACATGGCTATCATATCTCCTCTCAGCCTTCTCTTCTTCAGGCTAAACATGCCAAGCTCCTTAAGCCGCTCCTCATAGGGCTTGTTCTCCAGACCCTTGATCATTTTAGTCGCCCTCCTCTGGACACATTCCAGCTTGTCAATATCTCTCTTGAATTGTGGTGCCCAGAAGCTGGATGGCCATCTGTCGAGGGTGCTTTGAATGTAATTTTCTTGCTTCTTGGCAGGGGGTTGGACTGGATGGCCCATGACGTCTCTTCCAACTCTATGATTCTATCTATATTGCAAGCCCAGGTGATAGCAGGATTGAAGAGAAACTACTGGAAAAGCAGACACGATATGAGGATTTAAAGGTCGAACTGCAAGAACTCTGGCACAAGCCACTAAAGGTGGTCGGTACACTGGGTACAGTGTCTAAAGACCTTGGCCTGCACTTAAAAACAATCGGCGCTGGGAAAATTACCATCTGTCAGCTGCAAAAGGCCACCCTACTGGGATCTGCACACATTATTCTCCGATACATCACACTGTCCTAGACACTTGGGAAGTGTTCAACGTGTCATCCAATACAAAAGCCAGCATAGTGATCTTGTTTGCTGTGTACTGATCTTGTTATGTATGAAATGACAATGATAATGATAATAAATATTAGTTATGACCTCCCTCCCTGATGGCTCAAGGCGAGATACAATGATTTAAAAAACAAATGAACATAACAATACAATAAATTACTAAATAACATAGATAAATACTAATGCTAGTGGCAGGGAGTTGGACTGGATGGCCCACGAGGTCTCTTCCAACTCTATGATTCTATTAGTCGTCTCTGGCTGAGAAAGGTGGTATACAAATGTGGTAAATAAATAAATATAATATAATATTAATAATGTTGTAATATAATATAGTACAACTATTTATTTATTTATTTCGTATCAAAAGCATTGCATAAATTAATATAAAACTGATAAAAATAGAAGGTGTGCAGGCTGCTAAATATCTTTTTGACCAAAAACGGGCAACAGCAATAGCATTGTCTGTAGCCTCCAACAATCCTCCTCTGTACATGAGGCAGGGCACAATGGACAAGCATACAGATGCAGAGTTGTCTGTTCTGCTCCACAGTCACACAAGGTATGGGATTCTTTTAGGTAGTACCATTTTGCCAGGTTGTCTTTTGATCTGCCCACTCTGCTTCTGAGTCTATTCAGGGACTTCCAGGTTGCCCATTCTTGGTTTGCCAGTATTAATAGTGTACTATACTGGTAGTGTATTATATATATTGTGTTATAATATATAATGATTGTGTATTTTATATTACATGCAACATTACTAAATAATATTGCAGTATAGTGGTATAGTACAATATAGTAATATATAATGCTAATATTGTAGTATGCTAATAATATAATATATTGTATATGCATATAATGTTGATAATAATGTTATAATTATTCTTTTAGGCAGATAAGAGAGCTTGCTTGAGATACTTTATGTTTTTTATCTTCAAATCCCAGCAGTCTAGACTGACGTTGCCCAAAAATGAGGATATGGGAAGATTTAATGGAGATTTGTAAGCTTTATAGCAGGAGTGGCAAACCAGCTCAGCAGATGTTTTAGTTATAGATTTTCCATAATCCCCAACTGGATCATACTGCTGGGAATTGCGGTCCAAAAACATGGAGCACTGCAATTGCTTCCCACTACTCGTGAGGCTGGTGCAAGCTGCCTGTATGGGATGGGGATAAGAAGGGCATTAAGAGTGTGAGTGTGGCGAGAAAAGATTATGCTTGACCTAGAAATGTTGGGGAAAAAGAACTTGTGAAAAATCAGCATTAAGATTTTGTGCAGCGAGGCTTTTAATGGAAGAAGTGCTGGAGTCCTAAAAAAATACTAGCTGAAGAAACAGTTTCAGTGTTTCTGCATGGTTAATGGAAAGTGATATCAATATAATTAAATTCTAAGCCACTCAGAAAACGTTTTATTAACTTTTGGGTGATGCATTCTGAGTAGCTGGCACATAGTGTTATTGTCGGTTGACAGGGAACATTGGGCTCCATTATGAAAAACTGTTCCTTGAAAGAGGAACTAACAGAAAAGAGAAATCAATCAGAACTGCATCATTTGAGAAAGTGAGAATTTATCAACATACATTATATGCCTTTGAAGCCCAGTGACTAATTTTGGATCAATGAAGGCTGCATTTATTCTAATGTTTGTCCTTAAAAAGACTTTTCTCCACTTTTCTCTTGTTCTGTTGAAAACTGCATGTTTGAAGCTGAGATCTGCATGTTTAAAGCATGACTAACATTAGGAAGAACTTCCTAACTATGAGAGTTGTTCAGCAGTGGAACTCTCTATCCCGAAGTGTGGTGGAGGCTCCTTCTATTGAGGCTTTTAAACAGAGGCTGGATGGACATCTGTTGGGGGTGCTTTGAATGTGATTGTCCTGGTTCTTGCAGGGGGGTTGGACTGGATGGCCCACGAGGTCTCTTCCAACTCTATGATTCTGTAATAGTTGATTTTACAAGATGACCCATACAGATCTTTGTGGGGAAAAAGAAAGCATGTGCATTTTCTGAAAAAAGAAAATAATGTTTGCAGAACAAAGAAAGATTAAATACGGGAGAAATAAACCACCTCTTACAGGGACAGAGAAGGGAGCAAGAGAGACGATTATCTTGAAGATTGATTCCAAGCATTGATCATACAGAATTCTGTGTGTGGGTGAATATTATCCATCATACCATATCATGATATATTTAATTTTATATATCTCCCTATCCTTCACAGTCTTGAGTTGTGATTTGTTTACTTATCACTCAGATGAAATCCTGGGAGGGGATAACTGGGAGGAAATGACTTGATCATATATGGATGTGCAGTATACTCTTGGTATCTCTTGGGATTTGGTCCCCAGACCCACTGTTTATACCAGAATCTATGGATTCTTAAGCTCCATTATATACAAAGGCATAATAAAATTGTTTATTATACCAGAATCTATGGATTCTTAAGCTCCATTATATACAAAGGCATAATAAAATGGTACCCCTTGTATAAAATGGCAAAATCAACGTTTTTATTTAGACAGCCTTTATACTCCACTCTTGAATAAAAGAGGTTCCCAGAGGGGTTTATAGATTGTAAAATTGGCAGTTTCTTGCCCTCAGTCTTACAACCTACCAGGAAAAAGAATGGCAGCTGGGAAGGTAATTAAATCTAGCAAATAGTAGCTGTTCTTCTCTCCCTCAGAGAACATAGCAAAGGGAGCATACAACCCCCCCCCCCCTCCTGTTACGTCAGCGCCACTGGCTGCCAGTCTGCTACCGAGCACAATTCAGAGTGCTGGGTTTAGCCTATAAAGCTCTAGATGGTTCCCAGCCCAGCTTACCTGTCCGAACGTATCTCCCCCTATGAACCATCTTGGAGATTAAGCTCTTGGTCCCGCCTCTTTCACAGATGCAATTGGTGGGAACGAGAGAGCCTTGTCAGTGGTGGCCCCTCGGCTGTGGAACTCCCTCCTCAGCGATATGAGATCAGTTCCTTCCCTCCCAACCTTCAGAAAGAGGGTGAAAATGTGGCTTTTGGGATCAAGCTTTTGGCAAATAACACAGTGCAATAGATTGATTTGGATTTATGTGTAATGATTACCAGAATGGCCTGATTGCGGATAATGTGGTTTTATAGTTGTAATTGCAATGTTTTATATGTTTAATGCTCTCAATCTCATTTAATTTTTTAATTGAAATGTTTATTTAATTGTTTATTGGATGTATATTGTTTTCAAAGCATTGAATTATTGC